TGAGAAGAATGTATATTCTTTTCTGTTTGGGTGGAATGTTCTATAGATGTCTGTTAAGTCCATTCGATTCATTAGATCTGTTAGTTCTCTTATTTCTCTGTTAAGTTTCTGTCTGGTTGACTTGTCCATTGGTGAGAGAGGAGTGTTGAAATCACCCACTATTAGCGTGTGAGGTTTGATGTATGCTTTGAGTTCTAGTAATTTTTTTTTTACATATGTGGGAGCTTTTACATTAGGGACGTAGATATTCAGAATTGAGACTTCCTCCTGATAAATTGTTCCTGTTATGAGTATAAAGTGTCCATATCCATCTCTTCTGATTGTTTTTAGTTTGATAACAATATTAGTATAGCCACACCCACTTGTTTCTTTGGTCCATTTGATTGGAAAACCTTTTCCCAACTGTTTACTCTGAGGTAATGTCTGTCTTTGAGTTTGAGGTGTGTTTCTTGTAAACAGCAGAATGTTGGATCCCAATTTCGTATCCGTTCTCTTAACCTGTGCCTTTTTATAGGTGAGGTGAGTCCATTGATATTAAGTGATATTAATGACCAGTGGTTGTTAACTCCAGTTATTTTTTCTGGTGGTAGTGTTTGTGTGTGTTTCCCTTCTTTGAGTTGTGCTGGTGGAAGGTTTTCAGATGCTTATGTTATTGTAGGTGTTGTTGGTTTCCTTGGTTTGTGATTTTCCTTCTAGTATTTTTGTAAGGTTGGGTTTGTGGCTACGTATTGTTTAAATCTGTTTTTGTCCTGGAATATCTTGTTTTCTCCATTGATGGTGAATGCAAGCTTTGCTGGGTATAGTAGTCTGGGCTTGCATCCATGGTCTCTTAGTGTCTGCAGCACATCTATCCAAGAACTTCTGGCTTTCCTGGTTTCCATTGAGAAGTCAGGTGTAATTCTGATAGGTTTCCCTTAATACGTTACTTGACCTTTTTCCCTTGCAGTTCTTAATATTCGTTCTTCATTCTGTATGTTTTGTGTTTTGATTATTATATGGCGAGGGGATGCTTTTTTTTTATCAAATCTATTTGGTGTTCTGTATGCTTCTTGCACCTTCATAGGAATATGGGAAAGTTTTCTTCTGTAATTTTGTTGAATATATTTTCTGGGCCTTTGAGCTGTAATTCTTCCCCTTCTTCTATTCCTATTATTCTTAGGTTTCATCCTTTCACGGTGTCCCAGATTTCCTGGATGTTTTGTGTTATGAATTTGTTGGATTTGTTTTGTTCTTTAATCAATGAGTTTATTTCCTCTATAGTATCTTCAGTGTCTGAGATTCTTTCTTCTATCTCTTGTATTCTGTTGGTAATACTTGTCTCTGTAGTTCCTGTTAGTTTACTCAGATTTTCCATATCCAGCCTTCCTTCGGTTTGTGTTTTCTTCATTACCTCCATTTCATTTTTCAAGTCTTGAACAGTTTCCATTACCTGTTTGATTGCTTTTTCTTGGTTTCCTAGGGTATCTTTGAGGGATTTATTCATTTCTTCAAACTTTTTGTTATTCTTCTTATCCATTTCTTTAAGGGAGTTTTTCACATCCTGTTTAAGGGACTCTAACACTTTCATAATGTTACGTTTAAAGTCGATTTCTTCTGGAGTAGAGTGTTCAATTCTTCTTGTTGCGTGATCCCTGGATTTTGGTTATGTCATGTTGCCTTTCAGATTGTTGGAGGAATTCTTGCTTTGGCGCCTGCCCATCTCTTCAAATGCAGCCAGGAGAGTCTTGGTGTCTTGGTCCAATCTTTGCTGTGACTGACTCTGGGTGGATCTCCTCAGTGCAGGAGCAGGAACTGTTCCTGTTTGGATGGAAGTTCTCAGCACAGAAATAGGGACTCCTGGTAGTCCAAGGACCCTGCAGACAAAAGGGCGAATATAGGGGGAGGGCAGGGTCAAGTGGAACACAAAAGACCCTGCAGCAGAAGCTGAAGGTGCCCTGCACTCCCTTGCGGGGACCTTTCTTCCAGGCAGGCAGACACTCACCCCTCCGGGTGGAGAGCCTCAGTGCAGGAGCCGATCTTTTAATTATGTTATGTTGAACCATTATTGCACCCCAGTAGTAGATCTCACCTAGCAGGCTGTATGAACTTTTGGTTGTGTAAATAGAATTGATTTACCAATACTTGGGCAGGGCAGAGGGGAGTTTAATGTTGTCTGTTGGCCAGTGATACTAGTTGTATCGTTGTCTGGTTTTAGTGTCAGAGTGATGTTAACCTTCTACAATGAGATCTAACTTTAATTGGAATATACTGTCCAAATCACCTTGAAAGATAAAATACCCAGTTGTTGTTGACACTCTGAGGAATTGCGTGTTTTTATAAAAAGAAGTAGAAGAAAAAGGGGGAAACTATTTAGTCACCGAGTGTTCTGTGTTGATCATGAAAGTGGCTAAGTGATGGGCGAGGAATTAATAAGAAAAACTAAGCCCACACACAACTTAAAAATTTTAGGACTTCAGCAGTCATCAAATGGCAGCCGTATAATCAAAAACAAGAGAAAATAAAATTAGGGCAGTAGGGGTGCTTACACCTAAATAAGATGCACAAAGGTTGCCAAGTTCTATTTGGTTACTGGACGCAATACTTACCTTATGTAAGCATCATCCTAAACTCATAGAAAGACACTGAATTTTATTGGAGAGAAGAACAGTAAGCTCAAAAGACATTAAAAGATTATTTTTATGCCTTATAAAACTTAATACATAACTCCTAGTGCACAATTAAGGTTATAAGTCATTATAGCACATGGCTCTTTTGGATCAAGAAACAATCATACACAACAGAGTTTTATTCCAGTAAGATTCTGAAAAAATAAATTTTCATAGCCCCAAATAATTAATATGCTTTTTGAAAAAAGTGTTTAGTTAACTTGAAGGATGCAGACTGTCACACTAGCAAGAGGCCTAATATAATCAGGTATATAGAGTCATTGCTCTACTGGACAAAGTTTAGTCCAAAAGAGTTGGCAAGTGTTCAAGTTGGCCAGAAACTTGTTGCTCTAAATAGTGCTTACAAAGCAGGAATCTTGGCTTCAAGTCAAGGCTCCTCACAGAAGGGATACACAAAATGGAGGTAGACTTGCCAGAATTCCAAGGGCAGAGCATACCATTCTAACATCAGAAACGGAGCCCTGCGTGGTCAGATAATACCCCTACTAGCCATCAAAGCTCAAGAACAAATGGAGAGATATAGCCCTCAGACTCCAGAAGAGTACGGTTCCAGGACATTGAACAAGACACTTCACTGTCTTACATTATGCAGAAACTGCAGCAGTCAGTGCCAACCAGACTCCATAATTAGAAACAAACAAAAATTTACATACTCAGAGACTTGTGAGCAGTGACAAGTGACCTAACCCTGTGGTCCAACAAATGAACCTAAAAATTACTATGAAATAACTGGCAAAAACTTTTCCCATGCCATTCTTGAAAAGGATTACAAAAAAACCTCACCCCCCCCCAAAAAAAATGGTTCAGAAAAATGATTCAGAAACAACTGACTCCAACACCAGAGAGGAGCACTAACAAGAGCATGAATACAGAGGACAAAACACCGGAACTGAAGTTAATTAGAACAGTTACTATGAGCATACATTTCTACCTATAATTCTTACGAAGAGAGAACAGAACATTCTGGGGATGCCCAAGGGAAGGAATAGCAAATAATGAGAAGGAAGGGAAGAATGGGCAGTAAATATACTACTATATGCTAAAATATACCACTTGGGCTACTATGTATTTAAAGGACATCCGGGCAGCCCTGGAATATGTGAGTGGAAGATGGTCTGAAGAGATGATTCAGTCATTAAGAGCAGTCGCAACTCTTCCAGAAGACACATTTTCAGCACGCATGTGAAATGACTTAAAACTGCCTGTAGCTCAGCTCTAGGGTAGTCTGACACACACATACACACTGAACTACAAATAAGTCTTTTCTAAAAATGCTGGGATGGAATAAGGACTATACATTAGTAGTTCCTGTAATTCCATCTGCTACTGAAAAACATGTATTTAAAGAGACTAAATAATTTGCCGCAAAATATTCTTGATTAAGTTTAAACCCTGTCTTTTTCTGAAGTCCACATTCTTTTAAAATGATATCTTACCTTTCAGTGGAGGGAGGGGAGGCTAATATCTTGTCATGATTGTATTGTGGTCAGAAGAGGGTGTTGAATCCCCTGGAGCAGGAATTACAGAGGGCTGTAAACTGCTTGGTGTAGTTGCTGGCACCTGAATTCAGGTCCTCTGGAAAAATAGCAAATAATCTTAACTGCTGAGCCATTTCTCAGGCCCCTTGAATTCTTTAGACAGGATCACTCTTTGTAGCCCAGGCTGGCTCCCATCTTGTGATCCTCCTGTCTCCCAAGTACCTTGTCAGTCTGTATCAACACTAATGCCAAGTCAAATCATGAGACATCTTTTCTTCTCTATCTCTTTTCTTGATATAGGGGGAAAGAAGGTAAAATACCAGGCTGTTTCTTACCATCATCAATAATGTATGTGATTTAGAACTTTATTATTACTTGCTTAAAGGCTTTTATAGAATAGATGGTACTAATCATAAATATCCAAAGTTTAACTTATGAATTTATTGTATTTACAGAATTGCTTTCTACCAGAAATAGCACAATTTTGTAAGAACCTTGTTAAAGTAGTTATTATTTTACTTGTTGGCTTAGGCAAAGTCCGAGAACAAAGTGCATGGAATTATGTCCCCAAACATCTGTACAACAGAAGAGTCCTTGCAAACCTCCCGTTTTTAGTAGTGGAAGAGTCTTGTTAGTGTTACCCTTTGCGATGCCTGCTAAGCAGACTTCTTGTGTTTGAAGAATGTGTTTTATGTTAAAATCCCAGTGCCTGAAAACTATGTAACTTAACCACATTTCCTGCAGATTAGGTGCCAGTTTGTCTGTCCTATTATTTCTAATGAATTATGGTTAATTTTTAAATAGTTTGACTTAAAGTGAAAATCTATATATAATAAAATAATTTTTCTAAATCTAGTCTCTGTAGAAGCTGAAATCCATCACCAGCCTTCAAAATGCAATGGAATGTACCACGGACTATGTCTCGGCTGACACTCAGGACATTCTTGGAACCACAGAAAACCAGGCTCTCTGATCACCACCGGAGCATAAAAGGACCATTACCTTGGCATGGAGATGAATACAGACTAGTTTGGACACCACACCTTCGGAAGCAGTGGTTACATTTACCTGCTGTGCAGTGCCTTGCAAAGCGAAGGAATCAATTAGATGCTCAGCGACCTCAGCAGGGAGTCTTTCACCAGGAACGATGGGAGCGGGATATTTTAGCCAAGAGGGTTTTATCTTCCAGTGCCACATCTCAAGAAACTCCATCGGAAAAGAAAGAAGAGCCAGATCCTTTACAAGACAAGTCTATTAGTCTTTATCAACGGTTTAAGAAAACCTTTAGACAGTATGGAAAAGTCTTAATTCCTGTGCATCTAGTAACTTCTGGTATTTGGTTTGGGACATTTTACTATGCAGCTATAAAGTAAGTCTTTGCTTAGTTGACTGCCTGCCCACATTTTATCATGTCAGTCTTCTTGTTTATGCTGAAAGCCTTAGTTTTTATTTTATTATCTGTATGTGGGGGTGGGGAGTCAAGCACATGGCGGTCAGAGGACAGCTGGTGGGAGTCAGTTCTCTCCTTCCACCCTGTGTGCCCACTCTACCCACCAAACCATCTCACTGGCCCTTAATTCTTTTTAAGGATTTATTATGTTTCTAAAATGCATGTGTGTCTGTGTTGGGTATGTGCATGTGAATGCAGGTGCCCATAGAGGCCAGAGGATCAGATTTCTCTAGAGCTGGAGTTATAGGTGGTTGTGAGCTGCCCTCAACCAAACTGGGAACCAAACTCTGGTCCTGTGCAAGAACAGCATATTCTGTTAACCACTGAACTCTCTCTCTTTCTATCCCTTCTTTGTCTCATGCCTTGATTGACAGAGGAAAACTACTTTTTGTAGCTATTACCACATTTTATTAAGAATATCTAATGTTTGTTTGTGGATGCAAGTGTTTTGCTCAGTTTTTAACTGCCATCTTCATTTACTCCTCTAACAACCAAATGCGGTAAGTGATATAGTTCTTCCCATGTATGAATATGGAAACAGTTTGGGTGAGGGGAAATAAACTAATTCAACTGATAAGAGGTGGAGCCCACACCGAAACTGAATAGGTTTTCTGGTCTTTGAGCCATTTCCTGGTCTCATTGCTGACAACTTTGCATGTTTAAGAGGACTCAGAAGTAAGGTCCTTGTTGTTTTGTTACATTTCTTTGTTGTTGGATAGGTGAGTGGGTGGGTATGCATGTGGAGTTCAGAAGGTAACTTGCAGTTGGCATGTCTCTCCCACCTTGTGGGTCTCGGAGGATGAACTCAGGCTGGCTCAGCAGTGAGCACCTTAAACCACTGAGCCATCTTTCCAGCCCAAGTACTAGGTTTTAGAAAAGCAGCAGAACCATGAGTTCTGTACTTACATGTTTCTATGGTGTTTCTACATGTGAAAAACTACTTGTTTTGGTGAGTGTATAGGATTGGTAGAAAATTCACAGGCTCTTTTGCCAGAGCCTAGCTAACATGAACTCATCAGACTGAGACTGATTATGCATTCTGATTGATAGCATGCTAAGTCATTTTGTTCTGATGGGAAGTGAGACTGGTGGGCCTACCCTCTGGTATTCTATTCGATGTAAAGTATTCAAATGCATCTTTTTTTGGTTACAGTTCCTGCCTTTTAAGGTAAGGTGTATTCATCACCCTGCTGGAAAGCAGGGAAACCTGCCTGCAGTTCTGTCCTCAAGGGCCACATGCCGTGACCTTAACTGGTTAACTCTTGTTAACACCTGTTAACTCATCTAATCAAAGTCCACTGATTTTTAATGCCTTATTTGTGTTTAATGGCTTGGTGTTAAGGCATTAACAAAATATAACAGTTGTGTATAAGGAGTTCACCCCTTGACAGAGAAGCTGATGAGCCTGCTGAATGAAAAATACTATTACTGGAGTTTTTAGGGTCAAATTATGGGCCTAGGCTTTGCCCTCTTTAATAATCTACTTTAAAAGACAACTAATGGTAAAAAGCAGAGAAAGCTAATTTATTCAGTGTGACCAGCATGAGTCCAGTCACCATCAGCCACAAACACAAACCTGAGTCCATTTTTGTGGTGCTGATGTGAGGTTTAGGTTTAAACAGAAGACAAGAGGTAGTCGCAACTAATCAATCCTGATCAAAGTGTGGTCTCATCCATCACTGTCCACCATTGTCTTGTCTCACATCTGTCCTTCAAAGTCAGAAAGCTCCCCCTTTGGCTGGCCTCCAGGGCTCTAGCATTTTCCTTTAGCAAATGACACCTGAGGTAGTTCCAGTTCTTGGAGACCTCTGTCTGCCTCAACAGTCTGATAGCTGCATACAGAAAGACAGGTGTCTTCCTTTAGAGTATCTTTCCTCCTACCAAGATAACTACAGTATCTGTCCCAAGGTGGTGGGAAGAGGCGACTCTTCCTGGAAAACAAGGGTTTGGGTGTTCTTCTTCACTGACGCTCTAGAGTAACAGGTTTTCTTTATGTAATTGATACTGTTCTGTTTCTTTCTTTGCATTATATTTATTGTTAAAGACATTTTCTATACATGTTTAATATTTGTAGAAGTCCTCAGAATTGCCCTATTTTTTGACAGAAGCTACTCAGTTCTTGGGGTCATTTAATTCTGCCATCAGATATGTGGCTTTAGACATAATGCATTTTTCTTTTTTGAGTCACTTGAGGATTCTTGTGGTTCAGTATTGTCAAAGATCATGTCTTCTCCCAGTTTCTGGTCTCATGAGGAAACCTTATGTCCTTAGTTAATTGAGTATGAGGTTGCTGTTTGGCCTATTATAGCATATCAATAAAAACTCGGGAGTCAGATATTGCAGTCAGAACCTAAATGATCAGAAAGAATGATCAGATAAGCAGTGGAGAAGCAACCAAAAACCTCTCCCCTCCCTCCCTCCCTCCCTCTCCCCCCCTCTCTCTGTCTCTCTCTCTCTGTCTCTCTCTCTCTCTCTCCCTCTCTCTCTCTTTCTCCCTCCCTTTCCCCCACCCTCCCTCTCCCCCCCTTTCCTCAATTCAAAAGAGCCAAGAGCCTTTCTCAGCCATGCCTTTCTACTTCTTGTCTCTAAATCTGTCCTTAGCCCTCTCAAACTTCTGTGGTTAATTTTGGTCAGCTAGTGGCTAGCTCCACCCTTTAACTCCAAGCAAGCTTTATTGTCAGAACACAATCAATAAAAATTATTTTATTGAAAAAGCAGACCCTAAGTAGACCCTAAGTATTCTGGAGATAATAGTTATATTTCAGATTCTTTAGTTCACCTAAAACAGCAGGGGTGATTCTGTCATACATGATCCTGACTTTCTCTTTTTCTGTAAAATGCTGTGTCACAGTATAGAGGTGAGACTGCCTGCTTGCCCTGGGGTTGTTGGGCAACATGGACTCATGGCCAAGAGCCACCAGTATGACAGCCTGCCCTAATGAGTGCTGACTATACATGATTGAAAGTTCACATATTTGAGTGGATGACTTAATCACAAGTAATATTCATAAAATATTCTTGTCTACAAAAGAAAAGGGAATTAGTACATGTTCCAGTGGGATGGTTTATTGTCAGGTTGAAGTTGGTTGTATTAAGCTCCAGTTTTCCATCCAGCTAACAGAAACATTGTAGATTTTTAAAATGGTTCTTTCTGCCATTCTGATTTCTTCTTATTTTTGATGCTAGCTAGTCTTCCTGGGTAATGTCTACTCAGAGTACCCTCAGGGGGATTATTACAGTTAACCCATTATTTTTATATTAAAAATAAATTAATAGCACTCAACTATCTTTGTCTAGGCAGTTCCCTTACTTAATGACAAGGGAAAGAGACAATTATAATGGAGCAATCTGAGCACCCTGCCTTAGTTAAAGGTGCACTTTGAAGTGCCATGGATGGGACACGGGAAGAAAGAGATGCTACATATTACTGTCATAGCTAAACCAGACACAGCTCAATCTGCGAGATGTTCCTGTAGGAGAATATTTAACCTAAATTTCCTCATGAGAAAACAATCTCACTCTCAGATTGGGTGCTATCCTGGACATCTAAAAGTCCCCATGCCTTCCTCCCACCCCCAGAAGTCCTCTCTGGTTCTCTCTAGAGGTTTCACCTCTAGGGAGGGGGAGACTGCACAGGGAAAAAGCAGAGAGTACACTGAGGCAAATTTTTAAATTACAGATTTTATGTTAATATACCTTTTGTATTAACCATATACTACTGTGTGTATTAAATTTTATGAATGTGATAATTACAAGTTTGATGATTCCTTGTCCTGATACAAATACATAGAGGAAAGATTAGAACAGTGTGGTACAATAAAATGAGGAAACTAAAATTAGCTAAGTCAGGGCTTTACCAGCTTGGACTTTCTTTGCCTTCCCTCCCTCCAAGAATCTGTTGCAATTTACTGTAATTATTCCTTACCTTAACATCATAAAGAATAATTATTATAAATATTCTTTATCTGATACAAATAATTACATTCTTTTAGAATAGTTGGTTTTGCCAAGCCCACAGAATCACTCATTCTTTGCATGGTAGCACAGAAGTGGTATTGATGAAGGAAAGAATTTAAGATCCTGAACTGTGAGTTGATGTGTCCTAAGAAAATAGTATTTGTGTGAGGAGATGAATATCAAGTAAACAGTTCTGACCCTGCTCTCCTGGTTTACTTAAAGCCATTACTTTAACTATAAATAAAGTGTCTGCTTTTTAAATAGACTAGTTTAATGGCCTTGAAATGCAGGACGGCAATACTACTTGTGTATTGAACTTCGAGAAAGTGAAATGAAAGCATTGAGTCACACAGAATCAGCAGCTAGACTTTTTTAAAATTTTATTTATTTATTTATTTTTATTTATTTTGGGGAGGTTGGTGGTGGTTTAGTTTGGGTTGCTGTGGATTTGTTACTGTTGTTTTTTAAGATAGGATCTCACTATGTAGCCCAGGCTGGTCTCCAATTCTTGAACCCACAGCCTTATTCTTTTAGTCTCCTGAGCAAATAGAATTGAATATATATTATGGCAAATTTGTAGTTTATGTTTTCAGCTAATCTCCTGAAAATACTGTCCCTAAAGGGTTGCTTATACGTGACTAAATTATGTGTTTCTTTTTCAGAGGAGTGAATGTCATCCCTTTCCTAGAGGTCATTGGATTACCTGACAGTGTAGTAGACATCCTGAAAAATTCCCAAAGTGGAAATGCCCTGACAGCATATGCCATGTTTAAGGTGGGTTCCTTGCTTACCCTCCCTAGGAAACTCACATTGAGCTCTGAATTAAATATATACATATGTGTGTGTGTATTTAAATTTATATATATATAAATTTTATATGTAAAATTTTAATATCCTGCTTCACATTTTGTATTTTTAATGAGCAGAAAGTATAAAAATAAAACTATGACTTTAGGAAGAAGTACCTTAAAAAATAGGTAAGCTGTAGTCTGCCAGGCTCAGGCGTCCTCCTGCCCTGACTTGTTACTCAAATCTAGCATTTGCTTTATTATTATAATAGTTCACCCTTCTTTAGCAAGTGGGATTGTGAAGGCTGAATTCACACTGTTTTGTGTGACACAGTTCAGACTTAGTTCTTAGGTGTTCTCACTTTAGAGAGTCTATGACTTCTCAGGGTGTATACAGTGCTGCTTTTATAGAAAGTCTCTATGCCTGCCTTTATTATAGATGGAAGTCTCATTGTAGATCATAGAATTCAGCTATATTAATCTCATTTTTCATTTAAAAATACAAGATTCTATGATATCCATATCCAAATAAAATGAAAATTTTGGGAAAGTAGATATTACTATTCTGTGTAAAAGTATGTACAATAATGACTTACAGTATTATTATGTATTACTATTATGTAGTGGTGTTATGCTGTGTAAAAAGTACATAGAGTGACTTATAGTATTATTCAGAAGTAATGTTTTTCCATCATCTTTACTAGAATCATCTGAGATCTCAGATAATTTTTCTAAGAGTTTAATTGCTGTGTTTTTCTCCATTATTTTACAGTGTTTTATAGCTATGGTAGGTTAAATTTAACATATCAGAGTACACGATGGTGGTTTAAGTCATTTTTTCTGACTCCTTTCTTTATAGCATCTGCTTATGAACCCCTGGGAATTCAGGGGCCTGTGTTTGTGTTCTTGCACTCTCTGGTGTACTTTGAGGTGCATTAGTGCTTAGCAAATTTGGAAACCTACAAATCCTGTGGATTTTTCCCCCCTCATGTCCTTCTGTAGGGTGAGAAATGGAGTATGTCCTGAATTTTCTGTAACCCACAGTACTTCAAGTAGAACAGCAGAGATGCCTTCTTCCTTAAGGCAAAGCTCCAAAGTGAGGTATGATAGACATAAGGAAAGAGTGCTGGGCAGCTAGCTGATTACACATCAGAGCTCCTCAGATGCCCTTTAACATGCACTATAGTTGCTCAGATTTGTCCAGCTCTTACACTAGGAATTCACTGACCAAAAAAAAAAAAAAAAACAAAAAAAAAAAAAAAAAAAAACACTGTCAGACCAGGTATGGTGGAGCACACCTTTAATTCTGGCATTTGGGAGATAGGAAGCTCTCTGAGTTCAAGGCCAGCCTGGTCTGCATGATAAGTTCTGCGATAAGTTTTTTAAAGAAAGGGAGGGAAGAAAACAAAGTACTGCTAAGTTCCTCCCTTGGAGAGCATATATTCTAGGGAATGAGAGTGGGCAGGTCGAGGGCAATTGGAGAGACAGAGAAGGAAGGGTTTAAAATACTCAGCCATGCATGTACACACACATGTGTGTGTGTGTGCATATATGGTGTGTGTATATTTAAATTATGCTAAATGTTACTGATCATTAAGAAGAAAGAATATACAATGGGTGATGGTGGGACACGCTTTGAATCCCAGCACTCAGGAAGCAGAGGCAGGTGGGTTGCTGCGAGTTCAGGCCAGACTGGTCTACACAGTGAGTTTCAGGACTACCAGTACTACAACAGAGAAATCTGTCTCAAAAAAAAATAGAGAGAGAGAGGGAGAGGGAGGGAGGGAGGGAGGAAGGAAGGAAGGAAGGAAGGAAGGAAGGAAGGAAGAAAGAATATAGTTAAGAACACTTGATGCTCTTGCAAAGGACCAGGAGTTCGAAACCCAGCCTTCATTTTTTGGCTCACAACCATTTGTAACTTCAGTCCTAGAGGTCCAGTCCCTCCTTTGACTTCTGTGGGCACCAGGCACACATGCAGTGTGCATACATATGTACAGGCAAAACACTCATACACATAAAATAAATATTTTAAGAAAGAATAAATCAGATAAGATGTTTTGGTATGTGTTAATTTGTTTTTTGTTCACACCCCCACCACCACACCCCCACACCCCCAGCCCCCATTCATGGTCCTCCTAGATTGCAGATTTAGATGGGAAGTGCTCTGAGAAGTTAACAGGTTGATCTGGCAGTTGGCAGGGAGGAGAGGGAGACAAGGGTTCCCAGCAGAGGGAGCCTTGAGGACTACAGGATGCTAGGTACCAGAGGGTTAGATAGGAGCCACTGTGGCTGGAATGAGCAAGAGAAGCAGAAAGACTTGCCAGATCAGGAGCCTGTGTGTTATAAGGAAACTATTGGTTACTTCAAATCACTGCAACTGCTATATTGAGAATATTTCATTTTGAAGCCGGGGTAAAAGCCAGGGCATCAGGATGAGGCCATCTGCTACAGAAGCCTAGGCTGCATGTCCTCATGTCAGCACCCAAGTGGTACCTGGGGAGGCAGTCAGAAGCAATTGGATGGTGGGTATGTTTTAAAGAAACTAATGGGCTTTCCTAATGATACGCATACAAATTACTTTAAAGAAATTGATTAAGAGCTATTTATTTTGGCCTGAGTAAATGGAAGAACAAGTTACCATTTTCTGTAGTGAGTAAAATTTTAGAAGAAGCAATTCTGACTGGGACAGTTGAGGCCTGTGAGTTTGTGCATATTAAGTCAGACATTCAGGTGCAAATGATTTGGGTAGTTGGCTATATGTGTATTTAAATTCAGGGAAGGGGTTCAATATGGAGATGTAAATTAAGAATTCTTAATACATAGATAACACCAACGGCAGGAACCTGGACTAGCCATCATGGGAGTGTGAAAGTGAAGAGTCTACAGACCTTGTTCAAAAGCTAGAGTGACGTAGCCAGTGTGCCCAAGAAAATCCAGGTGGGGGTGGTCCTGGCACCAAATGCATGGGAGTCAGGCAGAGGGAACTGTTTTAGAGTGGGCCCAGGCTGCTCACAGGTCAGTGGTGAGTGTGGTCCCACAGAGTCCATTGAACTAAAGAGAGCGGGTTGGTGGGATTAGAGGAACAATTGCAAGAATGGTGGGAGCGTAGGTGGTGCTTTCTGGATGTTTGCTGTGCACTGTGCCTGCTTGAGCTCCCGGTACAGGTGGCCATTTGTTTTTGCAAAGCCCTTCCACTGATTCAAGTCTCTTGGTTTTTGTCCTCACGTTGTGATGAAAACCAAGAAGAGCTGCTATGGCCTTGGGAGATGTCCGTTCCGGACCCTATGGTATAGATGGTAGCATGTGTGCAGAAAGAGTTGAAGGGAGACGATTTGAGAGTAGAGCAAACGTGAAATCAGCAAAGAAGTATCTGACTCTTGCTCAGCCTCCACTGTTTGAACTTTGGCTGCATTTTAGCTCAGATAGATAGTGCAGGTCAGAGATTTTGGAGCACAGAAACCTGCACCTGTATTACTGTTAGAATCACACCCTCCTTCTGCCTCCATGCTCATTAGCATTCATTAGGGTGTCAGTGCGGCTGTCTGTGATAACCCTGAAATCTTAATTCATATGGTCTGAGGACAGACATTTTAAAATAAGTCTGCAGAAAAAGTATCCAAATGATATAGAGTATTATACTCGCCTTCTCTAACAGGAGTGTATGCTGATTATTACCAAAATGTTTAGTTCTAACTTAATTTTGTTTACAGTCATAATCAGGTGTTGATCTGCCTGTTTGCTTTTGTTTCCTCCTCCTTCCCCTAAGATTGCAACACCTGCCCGCTATACTGTGACCTTGGGAGGAACATCCTTTACAGTGAAGTATCTACGAAGTCACGGATACATGTCAACCCCACCACCTGTCAAGGAGTATCTGCAGGACAGAATGGAGGAGACTAAAGAGCTCATTACCGAGAAAATGGAGGAGACAAAGGATAGACTCACTGAAAAATTACAAGAAACCAAAGAAAAAGTCTCTTTTAAGAAAAAAGTGGAATAAGAGTGCCTTATATAAGATGTTACAGAAAACCCCACACTTTAATCCTAGGAGACTGGGGGCAAAGAACATGTTCAGAATTTCTTTCTTTTTTTGGTTGCTTGCCTAAATGTGTATATCAGTCCTCTCTCTGAGGGTTAAAGAACAGTTTTTTTGTTTTTAAGTTAAATAACAGTCGAGGGGAAAAAAAATCAATGTTTTTCAAAATGAAATGAACCCAGCATACAAATATTATATGAGTTGCAGTAATAAGCAACGGCCAATGCCCTCGAAGTCAGAGTTCCTGTTCCATAGCCTCAGAATCCAATCTGCTTCACGGTCTCTGACATTGCAGTGTGTGTACCGGTCAGTCCACTTATAGAGTGAAGGCCACTAAGTGCCCAGTTTTGTGGGAATGAACACCATTCAGACTCTGGGTAAGAGACTGGAGAAGTTACCTACAAGTTAACATGTAGCCCTTAGTTCAAGAAGGTTATATAAATCCAGTCTTGCATTTATTAGTAAGATATATTGGTTATGTGATGAAATGGACCCTGTAAAATGGTTTTTAACTGGAGCTTATCAAAATCACATTTTTAAAGCAAATTCTTTTTCAAACTTAACTATGCATGGTGGTTGGACACTTGGACTGTCAGACTTTCTTGTAACTCACTTCTGTCTTCTCCAGCCAATCTTTGGAAGAAAATGAAAGTTTTTATAAACTTTATTATTGAAATCACATACATCAGCAACTCAAGTTCACTGTTCTTAACTACATCAAGCTTTGAAAGACCACTACAGATTTGGGTAGGAACAAGTCTGTAGCTGTGTATGCTCGAGAATGGAGACCAAGCGGGCAGTGCACCCATAAGGCTCATCTCAGATCTCTCCCACTATTTCAGCCCCTGTGGGATCTGGGTCCTTATATCCCTGGTCAAAACAAGAGGCCTGTCTGTCATAGGTCCCATTAGAATTGTGGTTAGTGTTTGTCATACTGGAAGAGTCCCTGCTTAAATATTCTGCTTGACTGTCTCTAGGATGCTGCAGGATGTCGTTCTGTGTTTGGGTGCACTGCACTCTGAGCTTTCCTTCAGGTCTATCTAACCCTTGGGTTGACACTGGCGCAAGAAATGGCCTCTTTAAAGGGCGTTGGTTTTGACTTGCCATCAGAAGAATGTCAGAGACCTTGCCACATAGGTATCCCATTCAGCCCCTGCTTTGTGACAGAATTTGTCAAATGCTTAATTTGGCCAAATTTAGAGAATAAGGAGATAACCTCACACTTGAGATATCTAGTCATTTTATTGAAACACTAAGTGAAAATGCTATTGTTGGAGTCTTCTGGGTTGGAGAATTACAGAGGGGAATTTGTCATGGGTCTCTGTTCTTTTGTGTGTTGGCAGCATGATTAATCTGAGGCAGAGTTCAGTGCACTGCTACAAGTTGATGGCACCCTTTCATATAAGCAGGACAACACACTTATTGTCCTGCTTATTGAACAGTAAGATAGTAAATGCTGATGTATTAACATTCACACACACCCCCAAGCAGCCAAGAATACCATGCTAAATTTGATAATAAAGAAGTCTTTCTCCTAAAACCTTTTACCAGTCTCAATGCATAGGGCTATCATCTAGTGGAGGTAGTTTGAGAGCTCTTAAGACATTGCTAATAATCATGAGGCTGCAGCTTTTATCCCCAGTAGATAGATGTCTTCTGCCTAGTCCACTGGAGTCTTATCACCCTCCAGTTCTAAGTCTGGGTTGTGTCTCACCAGTTATAGCAGATGAGGAGTTGTTTGTATCTGCTTTTAAATCCAGTGAAAAGGTCCCTAAAGATTTGAGAAGTTATATTGTTACTATTGGGCATCAGAGATGTCATAAAATGCTGTTGTTAATATTATCCTTAAAACAAACAACAACCAACTTGTAGGGGATCCTGCAATGTGTTGATAGCAGACAACAGTACATGTCAACTTAAATTATCAAAATGTATAATACAGATTTTGTATATGCTGAACTGCATTTTATTTACAACAGATCATGGGCTTCTCTTAACCTCAAGGGAAACAAGGAAGCTCCATGTCTGGTGTGCACATTTTATCCTTTTGACACTGATGTCACTCATGAAGCTGTGACTGAGATTTTTTTTTTATGGACAAAAACCATTTGCTTAGCAAATTAGTAAGTTCAAAAGAAAATGGATTAGGTACGAAGCTTGGTTTGTTAAAGAATAAGAGTAAAACCTGCCTTTTAAAATATCACTTATTGAGAGCCTTTTGTATAAAATGGGGTGCTGTTTGGATGTCACCAAAGGGAAAAGTTTGTATATTGGGAATAGCTTTCTCCCCACAGTGAAATAATAAAACTAAGACTTGAAATATTTCCCAGTTTTCCACTTAAAATCTGCCTCCATCTTCTCATTCACAGATGAAAGGGTGAAGTACTTTATGCTCGGGGTGAGCTAGAACTGGGAGGCTGTCTTGTTCCTAGACCAAAGTTGTAGGGATTTTAAGCATCTTTATAGTGTGGGCAGAAGAGCTGTTTGAAGAAGCTGTATTTTAGACACATTGAGTTTCTTTTAATGTCCTTTGTACTGGGTTCATGTCTTCAAGATTTCATAACTGCTTCAAATATAAGCTGAGCTATTGTAGACTGATACACTAGCAATGAGATTGGCAGAAAGTGAATTTTGCAATTGAGGCAGGAAAAATGAGTAATATTTCTGAGTTCTTTTTTAAATAGAGATTTTTGCAGTATACATACTTTTTTTTTTAAATTATTAAAGGGCTCCTAAAAAGAGGTTGTTGTAGAATTAGAGGAATAATTTTCTTGGTAGCTACAGTTCATTTTCTGAATATTGTTTCAGATTTCCAAAACTGAGTTTCCATAAAACCTAAAATAAAGTAAATTTAAGTGTTCCAATTAAGTGCCCTTCTTGCATGCCACTTGTTGGCATTAAGAGCTCACTGTTTAATTGACTTTAGCAGAGACTTGGTGAAAGAATTATCCAGGCATTGGCCCCATGCCCGATGAGCATGTGTTGAGGGATACGTGGATCTCTGTATTGGAAATTTGCAGAAGAGGTGTTGGGAAGGCAGTGAGGAGGCTGTCACTCATCCATTCTTCAAATAATAACTGTGCTTAGTCTCCATTGGCCCATGTGTATGTTATTTATCAGTTTTGTATTAAGTAGAGTTTCCATGAAAGAAGGAAGAAGAAAGTCATATGCCCAAAGGACAGCAAAGTCTGGACCTCGTCCTTCCTGATGATTGAAATGGTCTAAGACCACTCCTTTCCCAGAATTTGACCTTTGGCATGGCCCTCTTAAGGGAACTTTCTCTTATACTCTGAGCTTCTCGCAGTTAAATGCTGAGTTAGGCTCGCTGGATTGATTTTTTCCTCTGAGACTTCTATGACCTTTGATCATTATAACCAGTCAAAACAAGTTTGTGGTTGTCCTGCATCTCCAGAATTAAGCTTTGAAAATTGAGGTCTATTCTTCCCTATACATCACTAATAGTCACTAACAGTAATTACAGATCCTCATTATCCTGTGGCAATTATTTGGTTATTTGATAAGAATGATCTTCTTAGTAGGAAGATTGTGTCGTTATTTTAAAACCCTTGAGGGCAGATTGGGGCATGGTTTGTTGTGAGGATTTGCTTGAATGGCCTTGATGAGAAAGTAGGTATCAAGTGTAGACTATGGCTTCTCACTGAGTGAGCTATGGGGAAGTGTACATCATGCTGTTTTCTCTGGGAAATCAGTCTAGTGAACAAACCTTGGTGGTGAGATAAGTATGACTTCCTGCCAAAGTATGCTTCCTGCTTTCTGATTTTCCTGTAAGTTGATTAGTTGGAAACTTTGCTTTCCTCCCTTTGTCCAGCCTTTTCTGTCTTGAACTTTGACTAGTTTAAATGTTAAAAGTCACTGACATGAGAAGCAAGGACATGTACAAGAAGTGTGCCCAGTGCAAGTCTGCTCAACAGGTCTGTGAGCACAGTTCTTGTTCAGTGTGCACAGCAGCACAGCGTTTTTCCAGGGATCTGAAGCTTCCAGATCCCTGCTGCAGTTGGCTGGACCCACCAGTTTCTAGAGCAACAACATTGAAACTAACTTCATCCTTTTTGTTTTAATAAGATGACATACATAGTAAAAGGCACTTTCTGCCGTATTTTGACAATTCCTTAAAGATGCTCCACAAAACGGCAATTCTATATCATTCTTTTCCAGTTAAATGTTAGCTCTTAATCCTGGATTTGATTTTAGGAGGGGCAGCAATGTTCATACATGAACATAGTTTCAACTGTTGCCTTGTTTGCACCTCTAAGTGCTAGACTGGAGATTCTATGACAAGTGTGTTTTTACTCATTTGAATCCATACCTCCTCAGGATTCTTATTGTGGTATCCAGGTTGTCACTGTTGCTGTTTCTCTCATCCAGTGGGTGCTGGGTGTCCTTACCTGCTTGGTATTCGGCCGCGGCAGTGTTGTTATAGGGCTCTGCTGCCCAGGACCTCAGGCAACAGTACATTATTATGTTTCCTTGGTGCGGCAGAGTCAGATTATGGGAGAACCACAGCTTGTGTATTCTGTATTCTTCTGACCAGTAACAAACAGGTGTGCATTGCCCCCAAAGTAGAAAATACTGTCAAGTATGTCCAGACCTAATGCGGTATTTGTTGAGCAAGCTAGACTATTCACTAATTGCACTGTTTTGTTTTTAAGATTGTTAGCTTTTACCTTTGTTGTTATGACTGATACTAATTCAAACCCAAGGCTTAGAGAACTGTGGAATTTAACACTGATAAGTCATGTTAGGACATTGAAGCCATGTTTTGGTTAAGAAAAAAACCAAAGACCTGTGTCTGAAGTTCAGCCAGTCATTACTCATGAGGTCCCTTTTCCCTGTGGCAGGTACTTAAATATGCCAGGCCATGCTTTTGTACTTAAAGGAAAATAAAAGTCAAGCCAGTTCATTACATTTGCCAGTAATATACAGCCTGGCTCTTCTGCTGATACCTTCAGCTTTTGGCTTTTAACCTTGTAATGTGACTTCCTTTAGACTCCACTCTGGTCATCCTCTTTTTAGAGTGATCTGAAAGGGAGACAGAAACTATTTTGTGACCTTATCCCTTCATTTTTCCCCTTAGTTTTGGATGGGCTGGGGTGGGGAAGCTAAAGGTCCAGTCTCATTCTGTCCTCATCTATTGAAGTCGGCCTTAGCAAAGCATTCAGGTTGCAATTTCCACACAACTAAATCCATACTTGAAACTATTTTCTCTTTCGGTCATATAATACTTTTTGCCTTTTCCTAATTACCACATTTAAAAGCAATAAAGAAAAACCTCAATCAAGTCTAAATTTTATACATTAAGTATAAATAGTAATGTTAAATATTTCATATATCAGGGACCATTTGGCCTCAAGAAATTCTCAGATTGTCTCCTTGGTTCAAAAGGTGAATACCTTTTCCTTCCTGCCCATCCATGTATAGATAGATAGATAGACCCATGTATAGACATTTGTCGTGGTGTCTGAACCTGTGTCAGTGCCATACTTGAAAGCTGCTGAGATTAATTTTTCCATTTAATTGTTGCCAGTTTCTAGACCTGAAGCCATCAGAAACTTCTCTTTATGGAAAATTTTGGTACAGTGGAGTTCAAGATATCCTTAGGAAATACTAGGTTTCACCAAAATTGAGTTGCTTGCCCTGAGTCCCATGAAAAGGAAGGTTAAAGCTCATGATTCTTTGGCCAGAGGGCAGATTTCCTATGAAGTAGTCTCAGTACCATAAAATGAAAACAAAACTCCAGGTACTTCCACACAACTGTGCAGCAAAGCTTGTGTGCTCTTCACTGCCTTGGCTGATGTGTGCCTTGTGTGCAGGGACAGCCTCCACAGGACCTGCACGGAGAAGCTAGTGTGTGGTTAATATGCCCATATCTTCAAGTGGACAGCAAGAACAATAGGACCTCTTTGGCTAGCAGCTGCCACCCCATGTGGACACTTGTGATGGGGCTGCTGCCTCTGCCTTAGCTCTGCTTGGCTGAAACAACTGCACGTGCTTTATAGATAAGAGTTTGGAACTACCTCCAACCAAGGACATTAATTACCAGAGGTGAGCTCTCGAACTGTCTGAAGGCTGCTGGGCCCAGGTCTGAGCTGCTCTTTACCATATGTAGAAAATGTTTACAAAACCATTTTGATTAGAATCTGTAAGCCAAATAGATCAAAGCAATAGAGTGAGGGAAATCTAACATGTTTTAAGTAGCATGTTTCTTATAAACTGCTAACGCAAGTATTACCACAGAGAAGCAGAATTGGTGTTTTCACTCAGAAGGCCCAGGGTGAGCTGCTGTCTGAAAAGTCCTTGTTTTCTGCATCAGGCCTTACCAGAAGCCTTCAAAGCTTGTTCAGTCCTCAGCCATGGGGCCTGGGCAGAAATAGTCCCACCAGGCCCTCTTCCATTGTAAACTGGAGTCCCAGCCTCATGTTCTTCAAGGGTTGAACCTTCCTGCTGTAACATCAAAGCCTGTTGCTCAGCAATGTCTCTTGATGTCCTCCTGCTTCTCCAGAAGCAACTCTTGAGAACCTAGGCTGGGCTTTCTGAGAGGAACTCAAATCTGCTAGTGCTGAGGTGATCGGTACCAGCGGCAGAGGGAGGGAGAGCCTGGCCCTCCCACCCTTTGCTTACACTGGTGTTGGGTATGGGAACTCTGGGGACAGCCTCTAATGAGCTGCTGAACTGAGGATTCTCTGAGAGCAGTGTGGTCTGCTGGCAACTGAGAGTGAGAGTCCCCTCATCAAAAAAAAGCTTCACTCTGCATCTAAAGTGGACTAGAATTTGGGCCCACACAGTTATTCCGTAAGACTTTGAAATTGTCCCTGTTTATTGCAAATTTACAGAAATGGAAAAATAAATCTATTATTATGCTGAATTCACTTATCCTCACTGTTTGGTAGGTTATATGAAGTTTATGCTTACATGTGTCATCTAGAATCTATACACTTAACTCAGAGCACAGATAAAATGTGCTCCTCTCTGTGTAGGTCATAGAACAACTGAAGGCCTCCAATGTCAAGGATTAAGTATCTGTTGCCAGACCTTCTTAGCTTGCTGTGTGATTGGCTTTGTGTAACAGCCATCCAAAGCCCCTCTGGGGTTAGAAGTTCTCAGGAACCAATTCTGAATGTCCCATGTTAGAACTCAGAATTGAGAATTCTGTGATGTCATCTGCTCAGGTTTATAGAACACTAGGAAATCCTTTTAAAAAGTCAGCCTCCAACCAGTAAGCTGGGGACTGAAAACATTAAGCTTAGCAGTTTAACTGCATTCTGGGAATTCACCTCGTGACGTAGAGCACTGACTCGAACAGGTTGTCCTCACCACACACCAGCTGTGACACATGTGTACATATGTGTGTGTGCGCACACAAATGTTTTTCTTAAGTCAGTAACTAGAGAATGATCAGCAGTATCCTTTGGGATGGGGTATAGCCCAAAAAAGAACTGCTCTCTGGGTCCCATCTCCAACTCCACAAAAAAAGAAAGTATTTTTCTGAGACTGATCATACATCAGTTGTCTGTTATTTGTATGTCGTAGCTGGAAGGTGAACAAACAAAATCCCAGGGAACAGATATTTGTCACTGATTATTTTTAATGAGTTTGTGCTATGATTTGATCATGGCATTAGGAACAAGCAGAAACCTGATTTCATCGCTAACAAACAGCACTTGTGCAACGTCTTTCATCAAAAGTATTGCAATTAGAGACCTGAGGTCTAAACTGTATCCCCACCTGAGCAAAAGATGCAGGCAGATGACAGTTGTGAACCATTTCCCGTATATAACCAGGAAGTACGTTAAAGAGTAAGCACATGGTTGTTTAAACACAAAAGGACTTTGACTTCTGATTATCATAGCTCACAAAGATCAGAAGATGCAAATACAGTTGTACGTTTTTAGTAGATTACTTTATAATAAAAATTAAATGAAAACTAAGTGTTGTGGATAGTGTATATATTTTAAAACAACTTTAAACTCAGCAAGGATATTGATTGGAATTGAGATTTTTTGAAAGGCAAGCGCATCTGACAGAAGCAGCATCATTGAGAGAGATCCTCAGCCAGGGCCGGGTCTACAGAAGGGAGTTGGTCATGCATCTTACTACTGAGTCTAGAACATTCCCATGCTCAGTAGAGTGCTCATTTTCTGACAGTGATGGAGCCTTGGGTCTTGACCCCAGGGATCCTGAGGGTGTACCCTGCAGTAAGTAGACAGAGACACTAACTTGGGCTTGGATGGGACTTAGGAGGGATCTATTGACATTTTTGCCCAACTCTTGCAGGGAGCTGTTAAAAAAGGACCGAATTGGCACTAAGAGTTGCACATTAAGAATAAATAGTAATAGCTTGGAGCATTTTTTTTTCCTGATTGGGGACAGTTTTATCTCTGACTTTCAAAGACAGAGCTCATACCACAGAAAACAAATAAAAAGCCTGGAATTCCTCAGACATCATTAGTGACTGGAGTAGATTGGACGGCAGCATTCCACAATCGCTGTTAGCACTTCATACCCATGGTGGCTTTAATGGACACCAAGGCTTTTTTGCTTGAGAGGGGACTGGTGGGGGTGGGGACAAAGGAAGAAACTTAAAAATGCCAAAGCCACAATTGGACATTAAAGACTAAACTGGAGCTGGAAGGGAGAAGTGTGACTTTACATGCAGTCTAACATGTAACCTAACTGAGGGGTCAGGACTAACACAGAATATAATAGGAATGGACTTACAAGTCTGTCTATTCTCAGCTGATTGGCAGTTCTCTAGTGACAACCCAAAACATTTCCCCTACCCTAATCTTTCCCGATGGATCTGCTTTCTGAGGCACTCCCTCCGTACAAATTCCAGACAGTTCATTGGCTCCATGGCTTCCATTTACAGGACAAGGCACAGAGAAACATGGGACACAAATGGTCACAAGTGCCCTAAGGCTAAATTGCCTAGGCTGCAGGTTACTCGTTTTTCCTGACACCATATGTGTCTTCAAAGTTTTGCACGTCCCACTGAGGCCTGACAGCTGGAACTACAGTGAGAGAGAAGGCCTGCACACAGAGCAAGCAGAAATGCAGCTTTCCCCCTGACTAAAAGTAGAACCAAACTGGTCGATTTCTAAAGGGATTCAAATAAAAGCATCTTAGAGATTGCTAAAGTGTTTCAGAGCAGAGGCACAACTCAGTTCCTATGTATGTGCTGGTCATAAACTGCTGCCTGCTTGTCCAAGACTCCATTCCATGGTGTTAATATATTTCATAGGAAAATAAACTACATAGACTTTATGTAATCAGTTGCAAGTGTCCTTACAAAAGATGGAGTACATAGGCATTCTTAAGTTCTATGCCATTTCTGGTAAAACTGGTATCTATACAATATATTACAGTATTAATTTCTTGTTCTACCCATTGGGTAGAGTATGTGCATATGTTCAACGTATATACAGCACCTTACATAGGAAAGGAAACAGTTGAAGAAGCACCATTTCAAGTGAGGCACAGCAAAGGTGAGCATTGCACACTGGGGCTGGGGTCCTACATCTGACAGCAGAACACAAGGCACCTCAGCTGCTTACAGATGGATGTGCAGAGCTAGGGCCCCAGGGGGTGTGTGCAGCTGCATCACTGTCCAGCCTAACCTTGTCGTGTTACACTGTCTCCAGCCCACCTAGGGACAAAGATGGTTATGGGAAGAAGTTCCTTGCTCAGCAAGATGTCCCTGTGCTCTGATACTAACCTTGTGCTACATCCAGTGACATCTTTATTCCTAAAGCCTATGACTATGGGAGACTGAGAATGCTATTGTGATTTGTCCGCATCTCCAAAGACTGTGAACAGCTCCTGGCAGCCACACAACAGCGTTTGTTGGAATCAGTACAATCTAAGGAAACCATGAAGCTGCGTGGGATTTTAGGGTGCAAGCAAGTCTGGATGGATGACTGGCATGGGAGAAAAACAAAGCGGTAACAGAAAGCAAGTATTCTTTGTTCTGCTCATCCCGACTGCTGAGATTTCTCAGAGGTATAGAGTTGCCATTTTGGGCAGCCAAACTCTGCAAGCACATCCACAGCATGTATTGTGTCTCCAGAGCCCAGCTTGTGGAGTCCAGGAATGGCCACGCTCTGTCTCTAGCAGTGTTGGCAGGACGCAAAGAGGCCACATATGGACTTCCTCAGTAATAGAGCTTGCGGGCATCCAAAAGGCCTACCCTAGGAGTCTTTCTACAAAAGAGCAGTTGGATAAGAGATGTAAAACCACCTGGGAGAAAGGCAGGTAGATGAATAGATTCTTCTAGATCAAGGCAGCTTTCTGAATGTGCTTCCTTTTGACCTCAATAGAGACAAAGACCAAATGGAGCTACTTAGATTTTCAAAACAATAATAATGCTCTTTTTGTACCCAATTCCCAAGTCTGTGTGAAGAGGCATCCATCCCAGCTTGGCTCCTCAGCCTTGGCTCTTGAGTTGGAGCTAAAAATTACTAAGGAAAAGTGTAATTCTCCCAGTGTACCTGTAAGCTTTCGTCACTGCCATGTTGTGATCTCTCGTGGGTTAGGTATGTGTCTGTGGTGGAAAAGGCATGGGGGGGGGCAGTAAACAATTGGATGAGCCGTTGGCCTCACAATCTCTTGTATTAAATATTTCTTCAGTGTTTATAGAGTTTCTGAAAAAGCAAATGCAGGCTAAAAGAATGAATTCCAGTAGATGGGTTTGTGGATCTTGTGTTTCATATTCCTGGAAATCCATGAGCCAACAGATAAGTCAGAGTGGCCTGCCCAGGCCTGCTCCTTCTAGCCATACCAACATTTCCTGCAATGCCTCATGGGAATAATCTATCATTATAACCTATTGTCAGTTGCCTAAATTCACTGCTTTCTAAACTGAACCCTTGGGCTCTCGGTTTTTTGAAAGACAACAGCCCCCACTTTGTGAGCTATGTCTTCACAGTTGCTTCTTTGTCATCACCTTAGAGCCAGGAGACAGCGTGCATGAGCTGTAAGCCAGAAGGCTACTATCTAAATCTCCCTGGGCTGAGAGAAATGGCCTCATTCATTTTTATGACCTTAGCTTTGGCTTTTAAACTAATTCCTTGAAGAGGCCCAGCCTCAAAGACTTAAAAGTCACAGGTGGTGTGTGTGTGTGTGTGTGTGTGTGTGTGTGAACACTCAAAAGGCAGCCCTCTAGGGTACCCAGTGTTTTGCCAGCACTGTTGGCTTCTACAAAATCTCCATATGCCAAGCTCCAGAGGAATTTACAAGTCTCTCATCTTAGCTCTTTCTCATAGCTGGCAGAAAAGTAAGACTAAAGTAAGGATTGAGAAGCTATTTGGAGCTGAAACTAAAGGGTGGGATCGCCAGCTTCACCAAAACTACAGTTAAGATTTGGAATGACAGAGCCATAACCTCACCTTCTCCTGGCTGTCATCCATGCCAAGTCCTCTACCAGTGAGATCCCAGTAAGGACGCCTACTTCCTTCCTCTGCCATTGTATCTCAGGGCCCCATTCAAGCACAGTCTGAAAGCATAGGCCACCAGGAGCCAGAAACTTCAAGCAAGGGGGAAAGGTCGTCTTTGGCCCAGTTAACCTGTAGCCTGAGAGGCCACTGAATGTCACCAGACAAGGCAGAAAAAAGCAACTCCAGAGTCCCAGAGACCTTCATGTGTACATCCAAGCAGTGTTCAAGCATGAACTGATAAGTGTTGCCTATCTGTCCTCTCTCCTTTTGCCTGTGAGTATTCCTCTGGATGCTACTGTGTGAAATGGGTAAATCCCACTGAGACTACAAATCTCAGACCTACCCCATGGCCTACCTACTGAGATAAGCAGAAATGAGACGCCTGGGGTCAAGACAGGACTGGGGGCTTCAAACAATCTCTAGTTCTCAGGTAAGAGTAGAGTTACTTCCCATAATCACCTCTGAAAACAATAACGCCCTCACACGCAGTCATGCACACAAGCACTCACACACACTGATTTGGTGTCAACCTGCCACTGAATCTCCATTCCTGTTCCTTCTGTTACATGCAGAGGCCAGACCACCAGAAAGAAGCCCTGCCGCTGCAGATGAGCCCACAGTGGTGCAGTTACAGGGCCAGCTCTTATATCTGCAGAAGAAAGTCATTGGGGTCCTTCATTGTGCATAAGAATGTTTAGAAATACTAGAAACAGTAAACTGACTTCAAATCCTGAGAAGCCATTTTCCAGCTGCAGCTCTGCCTGCCATGCCTGTCCTTGCCCACCACCTCTGTTTACTAACCGACCACAGTACAGACTGGCTACACAGCGGCGAGTCTGCACTGGCACCGGATTCCTCTAACATGCAACACTGGTGATACGTAATGGCTTATGCCAAATCTGTCCCTCTGTCAGGCCCAGAGGCATATTAAGCATAAGGAACCATCACCAGTATGGCACTTAGACAACCAAGTGGGCTTGGGGGCAACTGCTGGTGCCAGGGGCTGAACAGAATATCCTTTGCAGAACTCAACAGAGCTGCCTAGGATGGGAGAGGCAACGGGACTCACTGTGCCACAGAGTTCAGCAGTACACAAAATAACCATCTTGCATTTTAAACAATTTATTGCATAAAATAAGGTATGTATCTGAATATATTTCATGCTACAGTGAAAACAGTCTAAATTGCTGACGCTGCTGGGAATAAGGCTAGCTCTGTATGACACTTGATGCGCAATGCAGGTGTTTCTCTCCACCTGCCTCTCCAAATAACTGCAGTAGTGCACGGCTTCTGGCTGCAGATCCTTGCTGCATGCCCCCTTTTAAATGCATGGAACTTGGTAAACACCAGGGCATGTTCCCCCAATCCTTTCTTGTATGACTCTGTAGGACTCTCAAGGATGTTCCTTGGGCATAACAGCCACTCATAAGTGACAAGACAACATAGAGAACTTCACACAACACAGTTCCCTCATCCATATTTTAAACATTAAGATAGTGCAACTCTGAAAGCATACCATCAACAGAAATTAGTTCCTCTCGCTCCTCTATCTGCTTTATACCTTGGCACACAAAACAGGAGTTTTGACTCATATTTTTAAAACAAAATAAAAGTTTCACACCTTTGGAGAAAAAGCAAACTGACTGATTCTTCCCCCTGTGATAATATATAATAATTCTTCCTTCTTTATTCAGTTAATTATAAAAAACAGGCCATTCTGACCTCATTTATCTTCAGTCTCCTTTTGGAATTAAATAGGTCAAAAATACCTCTGTGGGTCTTACTTTCATGAAGTCTTCCAAGCCTCCTCAGGTTCCTTGGTACGCCCTTTGCCAAGCTCATACCATCTCTAGCCCCGTCTCCACCCCTGCCCCCAAGATGAACACTGTTTGTTGTCAAACCGGATGCAAGTTTGTATTGTTTCAGTCTTGTTTGCATGCAATTCCCAGGATAGGAATCAGAAACGAAGACTGTTTGCACATTTGGTTTTACTCAGCTGTACGACGTAAAGCCGGACAACACTGTGGCAGGGGGGCCAGCGGGCCTCTCTCTCCCTGCCGAGGTTTCTCTCTCCTAGCAAAGTGCGCTCTGAAGGGACTCAGACCAGGTTCCCAGGCTTCCTGTCTTTGCCCTTGATGGGTACTATTGTGCCCTCTGAGTTGCTCGGCTGAAACTGTGGTCTGCTGCCCCTGTGTGCGTTGCTATGCTGGTGGTGGAAGAACGAGGTGCCTGGATAGTGGCCCATCACCTCGCTGTAGGTAGGGGGTGGCCCCTCCATCCTCCCGTTACTGCTACAGGTAGCTGCACTGATGCCCGAGTGGCTGCTTGGTGGGCATGGTCCCCCGTTGTACATAGAAATGTCTATCAAGTCACTGTCAAACACGGTTCGGTTGGGTGGGGCCCTCACGGACTCTCGGTTGAGTTCCATCTGCTGCTCTGGGTCCCGGAGCTGTAGGGTGCAGGGTCCCTGGTAAGGAGGCGGCTCTTCCCCGTCTGACAGGGAGATGGTAGGAGGCAAGTCAATCTCGTGCTGCACGTAGGGGTAGGTGGGCTGGAAACGACTGAACGGATCCCGCTGGATGAAGGATGGGGTGGTAAACCTATCCCTGCCCCGTGGGGTACACATGATCTGGAAGGAAAAAGAAGAGGCCTGAGGACATTCTCAGTACAACAGTGACCATCAAGGGGACAGACTCAGGGAAGCTCAAGCTTGTTCTGTGTTCACACCAGTTTTCACACACCCCCCTCACACCATTTCCATGCAAAACAGAAAAGAACTTGTCAGGAATTTAAAGGAGGGGGTGGAGTAAAGCCCAGTGTGTATTAATATATCCGGGAAGGCTAAACTTTAGTAGGGAACGGTAGCTAACTGAAGACTTGGATGTAATGGAGTTATTTAGGCAGGTGACAAGGATTCAAATGGGACCTCATAGAGTGGAGAGAGCAGGGGACGGGGTGGGGCAAGAAACATGATGCTATGTTGTGGCTCTGAGAACCAAGTCACAGGTGACCTCATCCAAGCCTCGGAGGCTTTACCCATAAAATAGAAGACAAGGCAGGACAAGCCTCTTGCTTTCTTGGGACCAGACAGCTCTGGAACCCATGACTGAGTAAAGTGAGGAGGGGTTTCTGAGGTTACTTATGTAAATAAATAAACCAGAAAAGTGACATTCCTTTGAATTTCTAGACTTTCACAGTTATTTCGATACACAATTGCTACAGTTATTTTTAGTTATTAATGTGAAAATTTCAAAGTAAATATAATTGTAGATTTTTCCCCCAAATTAACTCAAAGCATATACTTTCTTTAAAACACATCTCTTGGGGTATTCTTGGTAAAATGATATTACAGGCTACCTCTGTGTGAGCAGGTGAAAGAGACAGGCAGCATCAGGGAAAGTGGACATTACTGTAGAAAGAAACACATCAGAAATCCACAAAGGACGTCAAGAGAGGGAGGAGGAAGAAGCAACACAGAGAAGTAAGTTGAACATAGCCTCAGCCCCTCAGTTCCTGGCAGGGGAGGGACCCAGAAATTATTTTCAAAAGGTAAGCAACAGAAAGACTGGCAATCCTACCCTCAGGCTGCACCCTCAGTCCTCCAATCACAGGCTTTAATGAGCTAGCGATTCCGTAAGCAGTCAGATCAGTAGCAGAGAAAAACCCGTTCTGTCACCCTTTAGGACTCAGAGGGCAGCACTGGGAACCACACTGAAGTAGGATCTATTGTTAAAAACTGAGTTACCCGAGGAACAGCGGCAGGTCAGCAAACCTCAGTTTGGCCTGACATAGGCCCTGGATGAGGGAAGATTCAGAGAAGCGGCTGAGAACAGAGGATGGATAGACACTGACAGGCCAAGGCAGGGTGGCCACATGAGGCTTGGTTCATGCTAGGATGTATACAGAAAGAAGTCCTCTCTCCCTGGGTGACCTGAAACAGATATCTTGGATTGAGAATACCCTTGGAACTTAATAGTTCTGAATATGAGGTCAGTAAATGAATTAAATTCTTCCCTTCGTTTCTAGAAAGTTGGAGAACTCTGAAATTCCAGAGGTGTAGTTGATACGGCCAGCTGCAAACCTCCAGCAGGGTGATGAACAGGAGATTTTGAATGTAGAAAGACAGGCTCCCCCTGTGCCAACCTCAGCACTGTTGCCCACGGTCCTCAAAGCACTGGAAAGACAACCCCCAACTAGAACATCAGCCAACCTAGGATGATGGTCAGGGAGTCGCAGAAGGGTGGTACAACCGGCCCAACACTCCACTGCAAAGCTAAGTAGAGATGCCAGAGACTCCTGGCAAGTAAAGGAAAACCGATAAGATAAAGACAGCTCTGTCAGACGCCATACACGTGGACCATACAGACTCGGCAACGGAAACAAGTCCACAAGGCAACAGTCCCCAACTCCATGCATTTAACTGACTGTCTCCGGTTTCCAAGGGCCCAGAAACATGCTCCAACATCACACCTTTTCTTCACCTTTGGGATTTCTTTTTATCAGTCAAAAACTATCTATTTTATTTATATATGTGAGGGGGGTACGTGGACCTCAGCACATATGTAAAAGTGAGCCAGAAGACAGCTTCCAGGAATGCAGTCTCTCATTGCATCACGTGTCTTCAGGGAATCAGGCTGGGCAGCAGGAAGCTTTACCCTCTGTGCCACCTTACTGGCCATGCTTCCTTTTGTAGTTCACACATAGTAGGGCTTTTATTTGTACTGTATTCTTTAAATGTTTTATGTTTTTATTATTCCCCCTCATACACTCATCTATTTTTATTATAAAATAAATGTTTTTAATAAATGAAGAGATATTCATTTTATGATAAAAAATCATTTTTATGCATCTTTCAATTACTAAACACTATTTTCTCCTCCCTTTGGTTTCCTTGTATCTGTTTTTGTTCTAGTTCCTTCCTTCCCCGCTCTATATTTAATAGTATTTTTACTTTACATTATTTTTAGTGTTTTTTAAGTTATTAAATTTACATGCTATATTTATGAGCATATGTTCTCATTCACACATGGCGTACGTGTGGAGGTCACAACAGTTTGCAGCAGTCTGTTCTGTTCATCCCATGTGGATTCGTGGGGTGAAACTCCAAGGTCATCAGGGTTGGAGGCAAGCGTCTTTCCCACTGAGCGATCTTGCCAGCCCTTAAACATTCACAGTGTTTTTAAAACTTTTTTTCACTCCCCTTGCACTTATCTAAATCTGTTTTGAACTTATGCATTATTAAGAAATCTTTATTTTTCTCTTACCCCCCAATCTCTTGCCCTTTAGTTAGTCCTTAAACAACATTTTCCCTCCACTCTTGTCTTCTTGCCCTTTTGTTTGATCTTGCTTCCTCTGGCTCTATCCTCTGCCTGTCTCTCTCCTTCACTTCATTCACTTACTACTTCCACACTCAGTAGCTTTAAACCTATAGCACAGTCTACCATAGTTTTGCTATTTTCAGCTTCATAATCGTGTGTGTGTGTGTTTTCTTAGACAGGGTCTTTCTTCATAACTCTGACAGTCCTGGAATTCACCCTGTAGACCAGACTAACCTCAAACTCACAGAGATCCACCTGCCTCAGCCTCCCAAGTGCTGGGATTAAAAGCCACATACTAGTTTATATATGGTCTACTTGGTGATATATTGGTGAGCTGTCATTAATGTTAAGAGTATTTCCATATCATGTATGGTATGCTGTTTCTGCTGTTACAACAGTTTACTTTTCTGCATGGGGCTGGGAAATGAGCTCTCAAGAATAGGTTGCTCGATAAGACAACGCCCCTACAATGGAAGTGATATCCAAACCAACAGTATGTTACACAGGAACAAAGAAAAACACACACATGCAAAAAGAAAGAAAGAAAGAAAGAAAGAAAGAAAAGGCACAGCTGCAAAATCAGATTCCACAGAAGACTATAATTCAGCACCTGCTGAATTCAAGGGTTTGAAAATTGGTAAAATGCCAGATGAAGATTTTGAGGTTTTTTTTTTTTTTTTTTTGGTTTTTGGGTTTTGGGGTTTTTTTTTTTATTTTTGATTTTTGAGACAGGGTTTCTCTGTAGTTTTTGGTGCCTGTCCTGGAACTAGCTCTTGTAGACCAGGCTGGCCTCGAACTCACAGAGATCCGCCTGCCTCTGCCTCCCGAGTGCTGGGATTAAAGGCGTGCACCACCACCACCTGGCTCTTTGTTTTTGTTTTTGTTTTGTAAGAGAAAATACAAACAAGAATATAATTCATTCCAAAACCTGAAGAGGAAAGACAGCAACAGAGAGGGAGAAGTCAGCAAAGTGGACAAGAAAATAAGAATATATATTTTTAAAAAAGAAGGAAGGAAGGAAGGAAGGAAGGAAGGAAGGAAGGAAGGAAGAAAAGAAGGAAAGAAGGAAAGAAAGAGGGCAGGAGGGAGGGAAGAAAAAAGGAAGGAAGAAGGAAGAAAAAAGTCAACAACATAGAAAACTTCAGTAAGGAAGCTGAGATTTGGAGAGAAAAAATAACTACAAATGATGAAAGTACAAAATCCAAGGAATCAAATAAAAGACACAGTAGAAATCTTCACCAATAAACTCATCCAAGCAAAAAAGAAAAAAAAAAGATACAGAACAAGGTTGACAAAACACTACATTCAAACATAAACGAGAAAAAAAAATGAACAAGAATGGCAATGGCTAAGAACTTTGGGACACAATCAAGAATCCCCAGAATAGAAAACAAACAAACAAAAAAAGCACTGAGATAAACACTAACGGCGTGGGTATTTAAAGAAATAGAAATTGCCCCAAATCTAGAGAAAGACAGACATGCAATAACACAGGCATTAAAAACTCAAAACAGACATGACCAGAGAAGAACTCCAGGACATTTTATGGCCAAGACAGCAAATACAAGGCAAAGAAACAATTAAAAGCTGTATGGGAAAAATAAAAACTCACCTACAAAGGCAGGAACATCAGACTAACATCAGACCTCTCCAGCAACTCTACAAGCCAAGAGAGCATGGATGATATATTTCAATCCCTGAAAGTAAAGAATTGCTGGTTGGTATATCTAAAGCTGTTTTAAGGTTGCCAGAGAAGTAAGTACATCTCGAGGCAAGTACAAACCAAAGCAGTTCTGATCTTTAAGCCAAAACCACAGAGGAGACTTAAAAGGAATGTTATGTGCAGAGGGGGAAGAAACCACAGGAAAGAATCAACTCATGAGAGGAATAGGTAAACAAGGGAAAACCAACAATAACCTTAAATGTAAAGGGCTTCAACTAACCTAATAGATACAGACTGAATGACTAGATTAAAATATATATATATATATATATATATATATATATATACCAAAACTTCTCTTGTCTCTAAGAAACACACCTCAATGATAAAGATACCCATAGACCGAGAATCAAAGAGCTGAAGTCAATTTGACATGAAAATGAAAATCAAAAGCTGGTATAGCTATTCTGATATGATAAAGCAGATTTCCAATCAAAATTTAGAAGAGATAACGATTACTAATGTGTAATGTGGAATTATTAATCAAGAAGATATTTACAAGTATAAATATATATGACCAAACAGGGGGTCCCCCTAATTTCATAAAACAAAACAAAAAAGTCATAGATGATGATACAATGTTGAATG